TTTGCCTGACGGCCACTCGTCCCCAGCCGCCAGAGCGTTCAGCAGCTGTTTCGGGCTACGTGCAGAAGGAGAAGACGGCATCTTGAGGCGTCCCCAGGAAGCCCCGCATCCCGAGCATCACCTGGACCTCCTCTCCTGCACACAAGCACAACCAGGTGCCACGCGTCCAAGCCTCAGACCCCAGCACCTCCCGTCCCCAGCCTGGGACAAGCCCTCCTTTTCTCCCCCACCGAGGAACCACGAGCTCTGGACCACGGCCTGGTGTGCACCAGGATGGCACCGTGAGAAACCCAGGTGGCAGCGTGGGATGCCGAAGGGGTTTTGCTAAATCACGGGCTGCCTGGACAGAGCCTGGAGAAGGACGGGTGCCCCACAGACCTGGCCCAGCCCAGCCCTACCGGGAGGTCCTCTGGGCCACCAGGAAAGGGGCAGAAGCACCTATCGAGGGCAAACACAGCATATTTGCCCACAGACCTGCAAAGAGCCATCTGACACGAACGCTGCACCCATCACGGGGGGCCGCATCCTGACAGTGCCTTGCCACTCTCAGTGCTCTAACCAAGGGGCCAAGCCCCTGCTGCTCCGCTCGTTCCTACTCATCGACACCAGTACAAGCCCTTCCCATCTCCACTTTCTGGGCTGAGGCAAAATAGGGGGGACAATACCCTTGTCCTGGGGCCATCTGGAAAGACACCTCCATTTCAGAGCTGAGGGGAGAGGCACGAGAGATGCTCAAACCCAGCAGCCACGGTGGTATTAAAACAACGACACCTTTGTCCAAATGGACCCTTATTTATTAAAGCCCATTCCTAGTACATCCCTGAGAAACACCAGGGGCTGCCAGTTTTATGGAGAGCAGTAAAACGTGCGGATTAGCCTCCCCTGGAGCCGCCTGCCAGCGGCCGGGCTTTGCCGGTGCACGTACGGCCCGTATTGATTTTCATCAGTCTCTGCATTCTGCCTGTCGGCGTTGAAAATACGCACCCTCCCACCATCAGAAAAAGAGAGGAGGTATCAGGATGATTCCAGCCAGTAGCAACCTAAGAACACACTAAATTTTAAATGCCACAAGGGGAGGGAAAGCGGGGCAGGTATTTTCCACGTTTAGCACAGTCCCCTGCTGTGAGCGGCAATAAATTCCGCATCCCGAGCATGCCATGGGTAGACGGAGCAACTTGCGCAAGGAAGGCCAGATGCTCAGCTCGTTCCTCACAAAGAAAAGCAATTTACTCCTTCAATAAAAGCAGCAGAGTCTGCAAGTTACCCGTGGGTATCCGAGCCTATGATCTACTGCCTGGATTAGGAGATTCATTGACAGCTCTGGGTTTCGGAAAGGGATTTTATCCACTCTTCAGAGTTAACGCCAGAATTTGCAATTACTGTTATTAGGATGGATGTAACCAGCTTTGGGCTGGCAGCATCTTGCCTAGCCAGGAAACCTCATTCAAAGCAAAAGGAATAAAGCTTTCGGTATCTAAGGCAATTTCAGGCAAACCCAATGCTTTTGGCTGAGCTCTTCCTCCCTGGCAATGCCTGCTC